CACACACACACACACACACACACACACACACACACACATACACATACACACACACACTCTCTGTCTGTGCGATCGATAGGATGAGCAAAATGGAATGAATCTACCGCTAGAACATGGAAATATACACTGGGATGATTCAATCTATTTCGCTGATCCTATCCATGGAACTTGATGGAAGTAGCGCAACGCTAGTCGCGGTGTTGGAGACTTCTTTGTTGGTCCATGTCGATGGACACACACACACACACACACACACACACACACACACACACACACACACACACACACACACACTCTCACACTCTCTCTCTCTCTCTCTCTCTCTCTCTCTCTCTCTCTCTCTCTCTCTCTCTCTCTCTCTCTCTCTCTATGCACCTCCGGTCACGTGTGACGCAGGTGCCCTCTCCGGAGTCTCCGCTATCCCGACACTTCCCCCTCTCTCTATCATAAATCTAACCACATTCCGGGGTGGTCGTTCCCCCTTCCATGATCTTGTGCTTCCACGTCACCCTTTAGTCCCTCCCCTCCACATCAACTTCCCGTTTCGATCCTTCCACGTCGTCGTTCATCCCTTCCCACGTCCCGTTCATATTCCTTGCCGCGATCGTCTCCGTGTCCCAACTTCCTCCCAGTTGTATTTCCTGCTACCGCTTTTCTCTCCTATGCCGTTGTCGCCTCCCCGCTGTCGTTTTCTCGTCATTGCCTTTATCTTCAACCTTCCACCACATGCTCCCGTCGGCATCTCCAATCGGAGGGAGAGAGGGAGAGAGGGAGAAAGGGAGAGAGGGAGAGAGGAAGACAGGCAGACAGACTGTGTGCGTGTGTGTGTGTGTGTGTGTGTGTGTGTGTGTGTGTGTGTGTGTGTGTGAGAGAGAGAGAGAGAGAGAGAGAGATTTCCATGGACAGGTGCAGGTAAGTCTGCGAGCTCGCGTTTGGCCTCATGGTACCTCCATCGATAGGACGAGCAAAATCGAGCGAATCTACCGCCTCGCGGTTGGCCTCATGGTACTTGCAAGGATGGGACGACCAAAATCGAACGACTCCACCGCTAGAACCTCAAAATGTAGACGTGCTTTCGTTTCTGCGTGCGTGTGTGTGTGTGAGAGAGGGAGAGAGAGACAGAGACATTTGCAGGCGACATGAAGAGAGAGAGACACAGAGAGAGAGAGAGAGAGAGAGAGAGAGAGAGAGAGAGAGAGAGAGAGAGAGAGAGAGAGAGAGAGAGAGAGAGCTGACAGCTGGCGGGTGGGCATGTAGGCAGGCGGGGTCGGGACAGGGATGACACGTGGCGGATAGGGCTCGGGATAGGGATGAGGGCAAAGAAAGGGGAGTGGACGTACCTCGGTCAGCCATATTGCCTCAGAGTCCGTAGTGTCTCTCCCCTCCACTCGATCCGTGTGTAGTCGCCCACGTCTATCTGTCGTCTCTCTCTGTCTCTTTCCCTCTCTGGTGGTCGTCTGTCTGTTGTCTCCCTTTGTCTTCTCTCCGTCTCCCCTCCACTCGTTAGTCAACGTCGTCTCTCTGTCGTCTCTCTCTCTCTTTCTCCCTCTCTGGTCCTCGTCTGCCCGTCGTCTTTCTCTCTCTCTCTCTCTCTCCCTCTCTGGCGATCTGCTTCAATCCGTGTCCTTTCTGCATCTCGTCGATTGTCTGCTTCTTTCTCTCTCTCTCTCTCTCTCGCTCTCTCTCGCAGCAAGCAGCAAGCAGCAAGCAGCACGAGCGGGCGCGAGCCAGTTCAAAGAAGCCACGCCAGTTCGTCGCACGACAGCGACAGCGTGCGGGTGCGACCCAGTTGACAGCACGCCACGCCAGACCACAACAGCTACAGCGAACCGGACCCGATGGCCGCAAGACGGTCGGCAGGCCTCCCTCCCCAGGCCGCGACGGTTCGTACGGCCGACGGTTGCAATTTTTTATTTTTTTTTTGGCGGCCTGGGCCCGCCACCCGAGGTCCCAAACCTGGAAACCGGATCACGTGAGACCCGGCTGTTAGGTCCCAAACCTGGAAACCGGGTCAGGTCCCAAACCTGGAAACCGGGTCTCGCGCAGGCGTCACGTGAGACCCGGCTTTTTACTACACAAGTGGACCCGCCGCAGCTACGGCGGAGGACTATGGCAAAACCATTTTCCGAAACACCCCAGCCATCAGTTGGACCCCATGTTAGCAATGTACCCCTAGTGGACGCTGCCCAACTTCGCAAAATGGGCCTACAGTCACCAAGTTTTCATAGGTGCAATTGCAAAAGGCCAAGCAAATTTGCACACGCATCTAACAGGGGCATAACACAAACATGTCAATCCAAAAGGCCACTCTCTCTCCGCCACACTTTTTTTTTTCTTCTTTGTTTTTTGTGATGGACATATACACCGCCATGCCACCTCCTTTTCCTCTCTCTCTCTCTCTCTCTCTCTCTCTCTCTCTCTCTCTCTCTCTCTCTCTCTCTCTCTCTCTCTCTCT